ATTCTCTCAAAATATAGAACATTGCTACCATCTCAAATGTATTCTTTGTACCTCTCTATGGTAATTCTTACCCACACCATCACAGGCAACTACTGTTTTCATTTATTTACAATAGGTTAATTTTACTTTTTCTAGAATTTTATATAAGTGCAATTGTATAGCACATAGAGTTACTAAAACTAATGACATTTTTACAATATGATCCTTAAACTACAAACTTTATTCTAGCCTTATGTCATTCGATTTTGTTTTCTTGCTAATTTGTTGTAGCTGTTCTTAAAGATCTAATCCAGAACTTCAAATTGCATTTAGGCATCTCTTCTTAGCCTCCTTTTAGTCTTTAGTCTTTCTCTTAGTCTCCTGTGACAGTTTTCAGTCCTATCTTGTTCATAATCCTGCTTCTTTGAGGATTACTAGTTATTCTGTAGATTATCCCTCAGTTTAATTTTGTCTGCTCTTTTCTTGTCATTTTTGACCGGACAGCTCAGAAATTATATTGTGTCATTCTCAGTGCATCATATCAAGGCTTTCATCATGTCAGTATATCTTATACCAGTGATGTTCATTCCTTTTTATTGCTGAGTAGTGTTACATTTTACAGAAACACCAGTGTATCCATTTTTTTTTTCTCTTCATGGGTAAGTGGTCTATTTCTAATTTTTGGCTATTATGAGTAATGCTACTATAATGAATCATGTACATTTTATTTGTAACTTTTTTGTTCCATTTCTCTTCAGTAAAATACCTAAAGATAAAATTGCTTGAATTGTGGGGTAGGTATATGGTAGGTTTTTATTTAAAATATCTGCTATGGGTTCCACCGCCTGCCTGGCAAGTGCAAGGATCCGAGTTCAATCCCCGGTATCAAAAAAAAAAAAAAAAAAAATCTGCTATGCTGGATCTTTTGGGGTGGGGTATCCGAGATCGAACTTGGGCCCTTTAACTTGTGAGGCAACAGCAGAACCACTGAGCCAAATCCCTAGCCCATTAGATCTTTTCTAAAGTGGTTTACCCTTTTGTATTTTTACCAACAAAGTGAGATTTCCAGTTACTCCAGAACATGCCAACACTTGAAATTGTTTGTTTAAATTTTAGCTATTTGGTGAATCTTTATTTCAAATATTTTAATTAATTAATTAAATGTATTTATTTTTGAGACAGGGTTTCAAGGTCTTACTATATAACTGAGGCCTTGAAGCGCTATATAACTGGCCTTGAACTTGCAGTTATTGTCCTGTGTCAGCCTCCCAACTGCTGGTATTACAAGTGTGCACTACCTTGCCCAGCACAAATTTTTAAATTTATTTCCCAAAGTTCTGTTTTTAAAATTTCAAATTTACAGAAAAGTCAAAATAGCACCATGAACACCTGTATGTTTATAAGTTGTTAACATTTTGCTGTTTACTTTCCCTTTCATTTGCAAATGTATAGACAGAGAAAAGAGAAAGAAGTGTATGTACTATTGTTCTGAGTCATTTATGAATATATTTAAGGCATCATGACTGTTCACTTCTTGGTACTTAGAGATATAGTTTCCAAGACAAGGCTGTCTTTTTGCATTTATACCATTAATAAACCCAAGAAATTTAACATCAGTGTAATAGTATATCTAACCCAATTTGTACCTGGATTTTTCTGTTTTTTTTTCAGTTAAAGTTCTGTAGAGCTTTTTCGTTTTTCATACTTGAACCACACATTGCATTTGGTTGTCATGGTAGCACTGTGCCTTCACTGAAGGGTCTATGGAAGGAGAATTATGGGGGATCAAGAAAAGAAAGACAAAGAGATATAAAGCTGGGGCCAGGTGGGGCCTTTCCTCCTGATGGGAGAGAAAGACTGCCAGGCAACCTCAGTGTGTTTATTTATAGTGTAGAGATAAGGGCAGTGCAGGGGGAGGTGAAAGGGAGTGCCTGTGAATGGAACAGGGAGAGTGGCTGGGGTCTGCTGGACATCATGATTGATGGTTTTATGGCAAATGAGTACGGAGGAAGACTGAGAGGAACAACAGAACAATGACTGCTCAACAACTGGCAGGAGAGGTGTTGACTTTATGTGGAAAGGCAGGTCAGGGAGAGAGGAGAGAGAACAAAGAAACGAAGGTCCTTTTATTGGTTTTGGGCTGGGCTCTTGATTATTTATGAAGAGTAGGCTACTTTTAACCTATCACAGGCCAGGTTGCCTTTTATGGGCTCAGTCCTGCCGAAATTTAGGTTTAACTTCTCCAACCGCTGTGGCCTTGTGGGGAGGGAAACTAAAGATAACAGCATGAGGTCATTCTAAGAGGCATGAAGAACCAGGAAAATGCAGCCTGTGAGAGCGGCATCAGGTCCCTAACAAAGACAGTCTTCTTCTTAGTGAGGCTTTTACCACACCATCTTGTCACCTGTTCTCCCATGGGGCCCTGCCTTGTTCATGGGAGGAAGTGAACAAGATGCATGTTCTTCTTCCACTCTGGGCCCTGCCTCATCCATGGGAGGAGATGAGTTAGGCCTGGCCATAGTGATCTACAGTGCAGTGCTCCCAACCTCTCTAACCTAAAATGCCTTCCTCCTCTCACTTTTCATGATATTAATATTTTTGAAGAGTCCAGTTAGAAGAAAACTTACTCAGAACAAGAGGCTTCCAACAGAGAGCCCATAGGCCAGGTACAGATAAGTTTTTGGTCTGTATTATAGATGAAATTTTTAATTTATTGCCAGTATTTTCTTTTTATTTCTCAGTTGTGTTTTGTTTTGTTTATGTAATATTAAAGATTGACCCCAGATAGGGCCAGGGATTTAGCTCAGTGATTCCGCTGCCTACCTTGCAAGCACAAGGTCCTAAGTTTGATCCCCAGAACCAAAAAAAGGATTGACCCCAGAGCCACATACCTGCTAGGCAAGTGCTCTGCTACTAAGATACAGCACTAGATTTTTTTTTTTTTAAAGAAATAATCTCAGGGCCAGGGATGTAGCCCAGTGGTGCCTTGCCTTCCTGGCTAGTACAAAGTTCAGTTCTCGGTACTGAAAAGAAAGGGAAGAAAGGATCTCCTTAAGTGGCTCTAGCTAGACTCAAATGTGTGATCCTTATAGGTGAGAGTATAGGCATGTACCACCACACTCAGCTTTCTTTTCTTTACCTGTGTGTGTGTGTGTGTGTGTGTGTGTGTATTCATTCATCACTGTGATCCTGGGAATCAAAACTAAGGCCTCTGACAAATGCTGGGCAAATGGTCTACCATGGCCTTATTGCTAGTATTTGAATAGGAAATTTTAAGTTGTACTGGGTCACGTTCTACATGAATGAATGTAGATGGTTTGTGAGTAACAGGTCATCTCTTTTAGTACTTGTCAGTTTGTACACTATTCAGCACATGAACTGTGGAACTAAAGATTTTTTTGGCTGTACTCACTTACTTTGGGTAGCAGTCACTCTGACAGAACATAAAATCACATGAATTCATGCAGCAATAAAAGTATTCTCTTGCCTAGTCCTCAGTCTACATTTCTCCAAATGAAAATTTCTAAGTTTAAGATGGAATTCCTTAGTATTCTGATAGTCAGTTATCTCACTGGCCCCAGGCTGAGATCTCTGTTTAAAATTTAATAGTAATTTTTTTTCTTCATCAGACTTATTGGCATAGTTACTTTCTGATTATGGCAGGTAATTTTGGTTAGTAAGTATATGTATTAGCAGTATTGGCTATCTGATAAGAAATCTCTATTATCAAAAGGCGATCTATCCTCTGACTGTCTAGAAAGGGGAACAGTGAGGGCTAAATTAAAAAAGACAACAGAGGCTGTGTAATTTCAAAGTATGGCGTGGGGGCGGGAGGTCATTGCCTCAGAGTGGGCAAAGACAAAGACTCTCTCTGAGCTAGCCATTATTTATTGGGTACACACAATAAATGAAGGGAGTATCAGGTGACCTAAGGGGCAGCAGTAATTGTGCAGATATTGTGCTGATAAAGATCTTAGGTCATGAGGTTCTTAAGTTGATAGGGGCATAAGGAAAGCATTCTTAATGGTAGTAGGTAGGATGTTTTAAGCTGTTAAGGAATTTGTCCCTTCCCAGGTGAAACCTTTCTTTTACCACTGGGTTTTCAAGGAACCAGGATGTCTTCAGCTGACGTAGTCTTGCCCTTGAGTAGCACAGCATCACAGGACCACTAAGGTCTCATCTGTGACTGGAGGCAAAAATGGAGTTATGTTTTGGCAAGTCATAGCCAGCCTATAGGTAGAAGACTGAGCCTAATCAGAATTTAAATGTGAAATGATTTTTCCTCAAAATTATGTAGAACAGCTCCTGACATTATTTATTAATTACCTATTATGTGGTGATTTTCTTAGAGTTTTCTCTTTTAGTCATCAAAACTGATGAGTTAGAAACTTTATTATACCTTTTTTACATATGAATAAACTGAAACTCAGAGTGGTTAATGATGTGTTAGGCCAGTCAGATACAACTGTATTACTCCACAAAATAACCTCTGAGGCCTTTGTAGCCCTTTAAGTTTCACAGTCCTGTTAAAGTCAACACCTATGATAGGAAGGTGGCAGCATGTGACTTTACAAATGAGATACTGGAGCCATTAAGGCAGCTAACAGCCCTGTGGGTACAGCTGGGGAAATTGGCACTATGATTTAGGTAATAGTTTTTACATAAATTGTGGAAAACTTTTTTTTTTCTGGTAATAGGGGTCGAACTCAGGACCCTGTGCTTGCAAGGCAGGCGTGGTGCCACTGAGCTAAAACCCTGACCCTTGGAAAACTTTTTTGAAACAATATTATCTCAAAAACTTGGCATTTGTCCTGTCTACTGAGGTACATAGAGGTGCAGAGATGACTGGCCTTAGGGGAGAGCATTTGTTTCAGACAGCCCTTAGGTTTCCACTTAAAAATGGGGAGCAGTCTAGTATGGGACCACCTCTATCGTATAGTCACAGATTGAGATGAACATGGCTGTTGTGTGTTTCCAGCAACTGTAAAAGTCATCTTTTTCTCTTTGTGTATACCCTGTAGGAACAGCTTTCTCAAGTCCTGGATGCCATGTTTGAAAGGACAGTCAAAGTGGATGAGCATGTCATTGACCAAGGAGATGATGGAGACAACTTTTATGTCATAGAAAGGTAGGAGATGGAGTTTTGTAGTTATGTGGCCATTCTTAATAGATTCATGTTATGAGGCAGATGATTTACCCCATCCTGTGTTTAGCCCAGAGAGGTGTAATGCTAGGTGATCAAGACTTCCAAAGGCTTGCAAGGGACTACTGCCCCCTGCTGTCCTGAGTTTTCACTACAGCCCATATTTGTACCCACCTTTCACAGTAGAAAATCTCTTGTATAGTTATAAAGTGAATATAGGATATGCTTTATAAACATACTGGCCAGTGTTCAAGTGAACCAGTTTACTGAAGAACAGTCATGATACTGTAATTCAATTTGGATCTTTGAATTCCAGCCTAACTTTACACATCAGTACTCTGTCCTCACCTTTATACCTCTAGCCTCTTCTGCTGGCTCTGTTTCAGGTTTAAGCCACACTGGAAGAGGTTAAATGGGTTTGACCTGCCCATGTTACTGTATCTTATCCTGTTGAGTTGAAAGTATTCTCTTGGATAAGGGGAGCCTTCCTGCTGATGCCTTTCAGTCCTGAATGGAGCACCTGTATGAGAATTTAAACTAAAAAGACGCTGTTTAACCCAATATTTTCTATTAATCTGTTGAAGTAATTTCAGAGTTACAAACTTGCATGGATAGTACAAAAAATTCTCATAACCTAGCTTAATATTCTATCACATTTGATTTATCAAATTATTGAGAGTTAGAGGCACAAGATCCCTTCATAGAATTACCTCAGAGTACATTTTTTAAAAGTAAGAACTTTCTCTTAAGCATAGACCAATTATAAAAACCAGAAATCAGCATTATTCACTTTTGTGTCTAATACACAGATGTTATTCAAAATGTCCTATTTATTTCTTTAATTTTTTTTTTTTAATACCCAGGGTTTGAACTCAGGTCCTTATGCTTGTGTGGCACGCTGCAGAACCACTGAGCTAAATCCCCAGCACTTCTTTGATTTTTGAAGTTCTTTTAATCTTTATCAGGTAGCTGTACTAGATTCAGTTGGTTCCCTTTGTGTTGAGCTTGTGTTTGTTTAGGTTTTGAACAGAAAACACTCTTACTCCTTGGGTAACCTTTAGGTCCTTGATACCTGTGACTATTAACATTAAAGGAAATGCTTTCATTTATTTTGTTTTTGTTTATTTATTTTTTGGTACCAGGGATTAAACTCAGGACCTGTGCTTGCCAGGCAGGTGTGGTGCCACTGAGCTAAATCCCCGGCCCAGGAAATGCTTTGTTTAAGGAATAAGAATATTATAAATAATATCTTCTCAAAGGAAAGATATTTTAACTTATGCTAAACCTTTGTGTACAGAAATTCTTTCTTTTTGGTACCAGGGATTGAACTCGGGTCCTTGTGCTTGCAAGGCAGGCCACTGAACTGCTGAGCTAAATCCCCGGCCCTTGTACACAGAAATTCTGTAAGTGCTGATAATTTTTAAAGTTATGTCACCACTTCCAGAAGCCACCACAAACATTCTGTATACTTACTCTGCCACTAAAACAGGTCCCAGCAGGCACTTGGCACCTGCACCTGTCAAAAACATAGAAATTGAGGTGCCTGTCTATGAAGGAATTAGTTGTTAACACGTTTAGATGAGGGCTTATCCTTTGTATGCAGTGAAAGTGAACGGCTATCATTCATGTAAAAAAATAAAATAAAAAATGCAGTTTCTGACTCATTGTCCAGTCAGGGAAGCAGACCATTAAATTACATAATATGATGGAAACTATAGTGATAAGAATACATCCTGTTGTTTAGAGGAGTACTAGAAGAGGTGCTCTCTGCAGTGCTGCTGCTAGAAATGGTGTGCACCTTTCCAAAAGTCAAATAACCAGTGTCTCCTGGAGAGGACAGGCCCTAGCTTCTGCTATGTCTATAGCATGGCCTTCTGCCATGGTCAGCTTCCCTGTTGAGTGGGAATTGAGTGATATCTCCTTACAGGCATTTTTTGCAAAAAGAAAACTAAAAATGGTCCACTACTTTATCCATAATCTGGATTGTATTTCTCCATTGCTTTATCCATGTTTTGAGGTAGACCCCTCAAAGCCTCAAACTTTGGCTCAGATGTCAAGACTGATGACAGTATGTATATGCTCTAAGTATGAGAGGATTTATTGCTTATATCATGAAGCTTTTGAAAGAGCAGGGCAGGTTCACAAATAGGTCCAAAGGTGAGTTGAAACAGCAGGGAGAGATGACTTGCCTAGGATCTTAGGGTGTCTAGAAGGGAGGGCAGAATAAGAATATTCTGGCACATGGCCCGGCACTATATTATTTGAATGCACCACAGAGAGAATATTCAAGCATTTTTATGAGCTTTCCCAAATATGGGGAAGAAGAAAAAAAGGAGGATGAGTGATAGAGCTCTAAAGCTGTCAGAAACCAAGTATCAAAATTTACACATATATATTTTACGTTGGGTCATATGTATTTTTTTTTTGGCAGTAGTAGGGATTGAACCCATGAAGGGGCTGAACCACATCCTCAGTTTTTTTGTTTGTTTGTTTGTTTTTGGTACCAGGGATTGAACTCGGGTCCTTCTGCTTGCAAGGCAGGCCACCGAACCGCTGAGCTAAATCCCTGTTCCCCCTCAGCTTTTTTGAAACAAGGTCTTGCTAAGTTGTCCAGGTTTTCCTCAAACTTGTGATCCTCTTGCCTTAGCCTCATGAGTAGCTGGAACTTTTGTTTGTTTGTTTGGAGACAGGGCCAAACTTTGTAGTCTTACTATGTGGTCCAGGTTGGCCTTGAACTCACTCTGTAGCCTGGTCTGGCCTTGAATTTGTGATGATCCTCTTGCCTCAGCCTCCCAGAAAGCTGAATTACAGGCTTGCACCACTGTGCTTGGCTCTGGTTAGTTTTTGTTTTTGTTTCTATTTCTGTTTTGTTTTGTATTTTTGTTTTTGAGACAGGGTTACCCTACGTAGTTCAGTCTAGCCTTAAACTCACTGAGTAGTTGGAGCTGACCTCAAACTCGCAGCAAGCCTCCTGCCTCAGTCTAAGTGCTGGGATTACAGGTGTGCACAACCATGCCCAGCCAGTTGGTTATTTTTGAGGCAGGCTCTCACTATGTAGTCCAGACTAGCTTTGAACTTGCTTTGTGGACCATGCTGGCCTCTCTTGTCTTTAGCCTCCTGAGAGCTGGGATCTGAGGTTCGTGCCACCACTCCCAGTACACCTTGTTTTTATGTTATCTTTTTATTTTATTTTTTTCTGTATCCAGGATCGAACTTAAGACCTTGTGATTGGGGAGGCAGGCATGGCACCACTGAGTTAAATCCCCAGCCCTATGTCATTGTTTTTAATGACTGCATAATACAGATATAAACATATTTAACCTTTTCACCTCTTGTTAGCAGAGTAAATTATTTGTAATTTTTGCTGTTATAAATAGTACCTGGCAAGTGTCCCTATGATTAAGTCTTTTTCAGCTTAATTAGAAATGGAATTGTTGCATCAAAGATTTCTTTGTCTCTTTAAGGCATTTGCTATAGGTTAATTATCTTACAGACACTTTGGAAAGTTGATGCTTGCCTCAGTATTGTATTGAGAGTGCTTGTTTCTCCAAATGCTTGTCAGTTCTGAATATTTTTCCTTAGCAGTCATTACAGTCAGTAGGTAGATGATTACATATCATTTACTTCATTTTGTTATATCCTGATTTTCAACAAACTATGAAAGAAAACCCATACAGGCATTTCAGTACCTGCAGCAGAGCACTTGACAAAATTCAATACCATTTTATGATAAAAATGCTCAACAAACTTAAGGATAGAAGGAACTTTTTCCAAATTAACTGAAGACATTTATGAAAAATCCAAAGTGAACATCCCACTTAATAGTGAAAGATAAAATGATTTTCCCATGAGAATAATAAAGGATGTGATAACCATTTCCAGTCAGTCCTAGTGAATACACTATGGCAAAAATGAAGGAAGGGCATATAGCTTGGAAAGGAAGAAGCAAAATTCTTCAGGTAGCATGATCTTCCCTGTAGAAAATATCAAGAATGCTACAAAAATGCTATTAGAACTTAGAGCCTGGCAGGATCACTGGGCTTCAAAGTTAAAATGCAAAGATCTGTTACATTTTGTATATACTAGCAAATTTCTTTTGGAAATCCTCTGATGTTTTATGTTATGTGCACTTACCAGTTCTTAAATTTATTATCAGAAGTAATTAAATTGTTTCTTGTCATTCTTCCAGGGGAATCTATGACATTTTAGTAACAAAAGATAATCAAATGCGTTCTGTTGGTCATTATGACAACCATGGCAGTTTTGGAGAACTAGCTCTGATGTACAATACCCCGAGGGCTGCTACCATTGTTGCCACCTCTGAAGGCTCACTGTGGGGATTGGTGAGTGAAAAAAATGGTTCCCCTTATGTGGTTTTCTTTTGGGCCTGGGCCAATGGGTGGTTGGTTGGAGCTATCTTTAAAGCTAGTTATCTGAAAGACATTGTGAAAGGTCTCATGCAAGTGTTTTTTTTCCCATTATTTAAAGTGGTTTATCAGTGCTGGGCATGGTGGTGCACACTTGTAATCCCAGCACTCAGAAGGCTGAGGCAGGAGGATCACTGAGTTTGAAGCCAGCCTGGGCTACATAATGAGACCCTGTCTCAAAAAAACAAAAACAAGGTGATTTATCAGTGAACCATTTGGTATAAGTTATAGAAGCATGACTGGGTCTTATGACCAGGTACTAGCATTCAACTCTTACTTTTTGTTTTCACCAGACAAATATAGAGAGAGTGAGAGATATGATAAATCTCCATGCAAGAAGCAGCCTAGCAGCTGGGTATAGTGCTTCATGCAAGTCCTATAATCCCAGGACTTGGGGGGCGGAGGCTGGAGGATTATAAATTCAACTCCTGTCTTGGGCTACAAACAAACAAAAAACACTTTTTTAGGTAGTTGTAATGGTGGTGTACACCTATAATCAAGGCACTTTGGGAGGCTGAGACAGGAGGATCAGAAGTTCAAACCTATCCTGGCAATTTAGCAACTTCTTAAGAACCTATATTAAAGTTTGTATTTATTCATTCACTCACGTATTTGAGTCAGGGTCTCACTATGTATTTCTGGCTATCCTTGAACTCACTATGTAGCCCAGGCTGGCTTTGGACTCACAGTAATTAGGCCTGCTCTATCGTATTTGGCAAGTGTTAAAAAAGGGCTAGAGATGTAGCCCAGTGAGAAGGCCCTGGGTTCAATCCCCAATACCGAAAAGAGAGAGAGAAAAGGAGGGAGAAAAAGAAAGAGAAAAAGAAACAGAACAATGCACATAACTACAAAAATACATATTCTTCACAAGCCTGTGGAATGTTCACCAAAATGGACCATATCCTGAGATATAAAATAAAATTTAAATCTAAAAGAATTGAAATAGGGCTGGGGATTTAGCTCAGTGGTTCCAGTGCCTGCCTTGCAAGTGCAACGACATGAGTTCAATCCCCAGTACAAAAAAAAAAAAAAGAATTGAAATCAAAGTATGTTCTGTAACTACAATGGAATAAAACTGGAAATCAAATAGATAACAAAAATCTCCAAACACTTAGAATTTAAATAATAAATTCTTAAGTAATCTCTGAGTCAAACAGTCTCAGTGGAAAGTCTCAATGGAAGAATTTTTAAATATAGTAGAATAGCTGGGCATGGTGGTGCATGCCTATAATCCCAGCACTTGGGAGACTGAGACAGGAGGATAGCTCTGAGTTTGAGGCCAGTCTAGGCTATGTAGTGAGTTCAAGGCCAGCCTGAATTACTGGCAAGACCTTGTCTCAAAAACAAAAACAAACCCACAGTGGACTATAAAATCACCCATCTTGTGCCTAGGGCATGAGATATGGGCCTAAGAGAGTGACTTCTTCAAAGCCTGGGATGGGTGGGTGGGTAGTAGCACCAGTTCTTTGTGGCTGTGGTGCTGCTTATGCCCTTCTTTCTGAGACTTATTTTCCTAACACTCTTGCTCTGCCCTCCCACTTTGTAGTCTTTTCCTTTGTGTTTTTTTCTCCCTGCTTTCTTAATTAAGGTCAGTGACCCATGGAGATACCTCTGGGCCTGTGCCTTCTCTTGCTTCATTCACTTGCTTTGCAAGCTCAAACTCTCCCCAACATCAGGAATGGAGCTTCTGGAGGGTCCTCTGCATCTACCCTCTTGTGTTTTGCAAGGCCTTGTCAATGTCTGCCGAGGCTAGAGCAGGGAGGACAGGCACTCTCACTGAGTTTCTCAAGCTGGGTCCTGCATTCCTGCTCTGATAGCAGCTGCCATCCTCATTCTGTGGTTCTCCTTTCTCTTGGTTTGAGTGAAGGTCAGTACAGACATTCCTGGGGAGTTCCTATGGTCACAGGATAGCACTTTTTCCCGTGGGAACCTCAGGGCTGTTTAATTTCCCTGTGAACACTTGGTTCCAGTGGAAGTTTCCTCTTCACTGTTCTGTTGGAAACTTCTCCAAGGTTGGGTTGATGCTTTGTGCTTTTTCATACCCTCCACAGCCAGAGCAGCTGCCCTTGAACAGTGTGAAGAGAGTCCTGAGAAATGAAAGGCTGCCTAAAAGGGCTTGGAACCCTAAGATACAAGTCCATCCCTCCCTTCCTTTAGGTTTTTCTAAGACAGGGTCTCTCTGGCCTTGAACTTACTCTGCAGCCCAGGCTGGCAAACTTGCAGTGATCCTCCTGCCTCAGCCTCCAGATGCTGAGATTACAGGCACACCTACCCCAAGTCACTTTAAAAGCCACTTGTTTTCTTTTCAGCTATAAAGTTTGCTATTATAATGAT